AAGAGGATGAGACTGGCACCTCCCTGAGGAAGTCACACTGTTGTGGCTGGAGGACTTTGGGAGGTTTTAGTCTGGCTACAACCTCTAGTCTTTTCTTGCTAGAGGTTGTAGCTAATAAACATAGTTGGACTGAATTGGCATTGTCTCTTGGAGTTCCTTGGGCTAGACCTGACAGACTTCCCCTTCATGGAAAAGGGGGAAAATGGGGAGCCAAGCTGGAGAAGTGCTTCTCCAAGGAAAGGCTGGACATTCAGACCCCCGACCCGCTTAGAGCTGAGGTAAGTGCAAGTATCACACTCTCAAAAATTTGACGAAAATGCTCTTCTCTTTTGGAGAAACAAAGAACCAGCGCCATTTCTTTTCCATGAGAATGAATGAAAGTTATTCCCAAAACAGAGAAGAAGATAATGACGGTCACCCAGCCATTTCAGGCACTCTGTCTGGCTCGCGTCCTTCTGCTCCTGTTGGCTGAGCAGTACAGGAGATGTTCCAAGAAGTTCTTCCACCTGCAGTAGGAGATGTCCCAGGCAGGGCGGATGCAGCTGATGCCGCTGCAGCAAGGGCTCGGTCTGCTCACCCAGGGCATGCCAAACCAAAAGAGGTGGGATGGCTGTGTCCCGAGGCAAGTTGGCTGCCAAGGCCAGCATGGCAGCGCGCAGATGGCGTGGTGTCTTGGGCTCCACTGCAAGGAAGGGCCCTTCTTCAGACAGCAAGCGGGCAGCGTTCCCTGAGAGGAACTGGAGAAGTTCATCAGTGGATGAAGCCCACATCCTGCATTACGTGGGCCCCTCTCCTTCGGATCGTAGGAGATTTGTCCAGATGGATTTCCTGCTGATTTGCAGCTGTCTGTTCTCTAAATTACATCACAGAGAGACTATTTAAAATGCACTACCAGTCTGCCTCCTGCTTCTCTGTTTCTTCTTGCCTTCTGAGAGACGGTCACTTGTAACCACTGGAGTGGATCCAAGTGCTCCTGGGGAAAGTTGCCTTTTCCCCAGGAAGCATATTTCAATCCCACTGGAGAAACTCCAGGTCAGCCTGTGGAAGTGGCATTGTAAAGCTGTAGGGCTGAGTTGCCCTTTTTAACAAGTGGTGGCCCTTCCCCCCATCTGAACATGGAAGGTGGGTGCAGGTAGAGGTAGAGGGTAGGTGACTCAGTCTTCTTCATCCTCTTCTTCATCATCTTTGCTGGGCGCACACCGCTGGAAGCAGTTCACGAGCAGCGCCAGGACAAAGCTAGAAATGATCGCAGCGATGGAGACGGCTGCCCCAGAGAAGATGATGATCAGAAGGTCCACCAGGGACAACCTGAATTTGCAATCCCTAAAACTGGCTTCTGTTAATTCACTGAGGAAGATGGAGTTGTCCTCCATGGGGACAGTGCACTGGATTTCACTGAGACCTGCACAGTATGAGGGAGAGAGGGAGGGGAAAGGAGGGGAAACAGAGTAGTGTTGCTTTACTTTTAGGACTATTATTCGCAGCTTTCCCATCCAAAATACTGCTCAGCAGAGCTCAGAACTAGATAAAAACATGTCATTGGAGTAATGCTGCTTAGTGTTTGGAGAACTCTGCTCATCAGCGGAAGAGAATCCCTGCCTCTTTTTCTCTCTGAAAAAGATCCGTTTCTCAAATAATTTAGAGAGCAACCAAACTGGGAGCATAGCAGCATGGCGGTTAAAGCTTCGGATAAGTGATGAGACGCAAATAAAGCAAGAAGCAGGCAACCAAGGAAACAGGTGTTTAGGTCTTATCCCCTGGTGGGCAGCTATGAGATCCCACCTAAAATGGGAATTTTACGGAGTCTCCAGGCGATGCCATCTTTCTGCAAGGAACCGGACATGTTTTATCTTCTTTCCGCTCTCCTTTTCTCTGAGCAGAGTCAGCACTAATCACTAAAATGCTGTTACATGAGGTTTTGGTCACTTCAGTGCCAATAGCGATTGTGGCTTTTCCTGTCTGGTTCAACACAAGGTTGCATACACATACTCGCAACACATGTGGTTGTGCTACCTCCCCAGCTCCTCACCCTGGCAGGAAAGCAGCCATGACTCCCTAGGCTGTCAGCTGGCGCCCTTATTGCTGGGGGGCGGGTGAAGAGGAGACAGGAGGGCAGACGGAAACCCCACACGCAGATCACTGCCTGAACCAGATTGTTGGCACTTTCCGTTCTGCCAGGCATCCGGCGTTCAGCTGCCGCTCAGCTTTATGGAACTGCATGCCCAGAGGAACACAATCTGCAGCTCCCCCTCCTACACCAACGTTTGGAGATTTTCAAAATACATTAGCATCTTCTGATAGCGGGAGACTTAGCCATACGCAAAGGAAGCTACACGAAAAAAACGAAACACATTTGCTGCACTCTGGAGCCCTTCAGGCAGCTTGGCAGAGGGTCCACTCAGTGGGCCGGGAGCCCAGCCACTCTAGCCAGTGACTAGAGCAGGCTTGAGCGAGGAAGGAAGATCAGAGGGGGGGCACCATCTGACCTCAGAAATGCTGAAAAGAGCCCTGAGGCTGGGTGGCCAAGGCCCCTTTATTCCAGCAAGCTGAACATTTAGAAAACGTATAGATTTAGAAAACGTTATCCACAGTATTATTTTTACATGAGGGTTGATTTGCACTTAGCAAGTTCACCTTTGCGGTCCAAACTTTCATCAAAAATTGCCCACCACACGCCGCACCCAAACCCTTGTCCAACTTCACAGATGCCTCCTCCCTATTTCTCAGAATCCCTAGAATTGCATGATGGACTGGGCAGCCCCAAGGAGGCAGAGGGTGCTGGGTTCCCTCTTCAGCTTCCTGGGCTGCCCTCAGCCCCTCCCAGGTAAAACCCCACCTCCTTGGGATCCAGGGGAAGTGCGGGACGCCAGGGAGGCCACAGGCCAGCCCCTCCTATGTGCCCCACCCTGGCGTCCACAGCTCTTTTCCTTAAGAACAAAAAGGATGAGACCTGTAGAGACCTTGGGGCTCTCTGAGCTTGGTTGTTTTCTTGCAGACATTTCATTACCCGACTAGGTAACACCTTCAGTGCTAGAAGGGAGTGGGGTTTGCTCTCTATTTATATACAGTAGTTTGCCCTGTCAGTGTTGGTAGGGGAGTTACCCCCTGCCCCTTGGTAGTTCCTAGATTAGACTGTTGTTTACTGCTTGTTTGTTTGTCTGAGTTGGTAGCACAGCACAACCAACACAAACTATGAAAAGGATAACCCTGCCATACATCGAAAACATCTCAGAAACAACCAACAGACTATTACAACCACATGGCATCTCTGTAGCACACAAACCAACAAAAGCCCTCCAGAACATCTTAAGCAAACCAAAAGACCCAGTAGCCCGAGCAGGAAAAATAGGAGTGGTCTACAACATACAGCGTAAGGACTGTAACAGCCACTACGTAGGACAGTCAGGCAGAAGGCTGGCAGAGCGTCTCCAAGAACACCAACGAGCAGTCAGGAGACACAGTGAAAACTCCTTAATTTCCCAGCATGTGGCAGACTTAACCATAACTTCAACTGGGAAACTGTCAGCATCTTAGACCAAGCTAAATCCAAAAATGTGTGGGAATTTCTGGAAGCCTGGCAAGTCAGCCATCAATGGGCACATAGAGATAAACAACAATCACACACTATTAAAAGAGACAATAAAAAGGAAACGAAAAGACCAGAACACTGCCTCGCCAGCAAGCCACACCCAGATAAACAGGGATTAACACCAGGATTAACGTCAGATAAACAATTAAGCAGCAAACAATACCCTAATCAAGGAACTACCAACTCGACAGACAAACAAGCAGTAAACAACAGCCTAACCTGGGAACTACCAAGGGGGGAAAAAACAACTCCCCCACCAACCCGGACAGGGCAAGCCACTGTACATAAACAGAGAGCAAACCCCACTCCCTGCCTTCAAGGTCTCTGCAGTTCAACCCTGAGCTCCACAGATCCTCTTCTGTAGGACAAGACTTGCTTGCCTACAGTTCTTAACTAACGTGCCATTTGGCTCCTACATTTTCTAATGCAACTCTAATAACAACAGCAACAGCAGCCTCCCTTAGCCAGTCCCTTCCTCTCTGGTATCTGACTCACAGCAACTTACTTTGCCAATTTTCCTACTTTCCCTGGAAGGGGCTGGGTTCTCCGGTGAAACTGATGAGGTGGGGCAAGGCAGTTGGGTCAGTTTCACTGCCAGGCGTCCCACCCACTTTCAGAAGTCACAAGAGGACTCCAGAGCACCCATGAGGAAGAGTGGGCGTTAAAAGACGCACCCCATAATCTACTCAAATATGGGAAGTGCAGGTTGGACATAACTGGCAGTGGGAAGGATGATGGCTAATAAAGTACGGCTGGGCTCATATGAATTATCCTAGGTAATTTGCGGCATGACACCCAGGCATGATCTTAACGCATGGTGTAATCACATGAAACCAGAATAAGGCTATTTATTTGGGCATTTCAGGTTAAGCAATTATGCTCTAATTTCAGGGTTGAATACACTGCGCGTGTGTGGGTTAAAAGGTGTGTGAAAGCGGGAAGGAAACAACCACCTAAGTTCAGTTACCAAATAATCCAGCGTAGCGTGCAGGATGGATATCCACGTGCCCCTTGGAGGAACTTTCCCCAATGTGGCACAATCCAGGGATGCTGGTCTGCAACTCCTGAAACCCTGAGGTTTGGGAATGCTGGGTACTCCTAGAGGGCCACAGGACGGAGAACGCCTATGGGGTGACACTGGAGCTTCAGTCCTGGAACCTCGCCCTGGGAGGAAACCCCTGCGATGTGATGGGAGTTCCTGTAAGGGCTGCGCTGTCGAGCAGAAGCCTCACGTGGCTTCAGCTGGCTTTGCCCAACATGCTTCACCAGGTCAGTGCAAGACTTGGTCAGTTCAAACAGGCTGGGTTCGGTAGGTTTTATTCCTGTGAGAATCGGCCAAGGATTCAGTCAGCATCTGGTGCAAAGCGCAAAAATAGGTTAATTCAGGAGCCCACTTAAGCATGTGGTACAGCTCCAACCACTTCAAGTCCTGGAGCCACAAGACAAGTGAGAGAATAGCTTCTCTCGGTGGATTTTAAAAAGGCAAAAATAAACAATAAAGTAAAGGCAGCGTGCTTTCTAGGGAGTTATGCACAAGCCACCGCGAGTGGGGCATTGGCACCCTCTGGAAAACCCAGAAGAATCTCCTGGCCGCCGAGGAAGCGCAGACTAAATGGCAGAAACTCCAGTTAACGCTTCGCTCAGATCTCCCCAAGTGGAAAATCACCGTGCCAGAGGGAGGCTCGGCTGATTCACTGGGCAGGAAGGTCCAGCTTAGTTCCAGGCACTCTCACGCACCCAAGCCGTCTCCCGAGTCAGGTCAACAGCCCCCCCAGACCTTTCCTGGAACCAGCATCTGCTTCCCAGGGGGAATGGGAGACACCATTCCAATCCAAGCTCCAGCGTGAACCAGCACTCACGCACAGCCAAGCGGTGCATCCCGCAACACTTCCACCAGTCCATCTGCTTGGGAGAAGCTGTGAAAGCCCCCCAACCCGCCTCGAGGGACCGCTCGGACATGCTCCAAAGCCACGGGCTCCAAAGAGACCGCTAAAAGCAGTTCGGCCACCCTGAGGGTCGCTGTGGCCAAAATCCTCTTCGCTTTCTTACCCCTCCTCCTGCCAGGAACTCCAGGCCGGCCCATCCTTTTTAACAAAAAGGGATGGTCAGGGAGCCAGGAAAGTTCCTGTGATTTGGGACCCCAGAGTGCAGTTTCAAAGGAAGAGAGCACGAGTCGGGCAGCCAGTCGGGCAAATCTTGAAATAAACCAACAAACTTCCCTAGGCTGAACAAGACATTCTGATGGGGCAAGAGCAGCCGGCGTCTGAGAGACCATCTGCCACCAAGAACAGGACGTACAGGGAACGGCGGGCAGGCAGATGTTCTGGGAGCGCGGAAGGGTTACCTTTCGGGAGTTTGAAGGCGTTCTCCTCCAGCCAGCGGAAGAGGCTGGCAAAGTCACAGTTGCAGAGCCAGGGGTTGCCTTCCAGGTGGAGGATCCGTAGGCTGGGTAGTGCCTCCAGGGCGGCCACATCCAGCGCCTTTAAGTCATTGTGGTTCAGCTCCAGCACCTGGAGCTGGTCCAGGCTCTCAAAAGCAGCCTCGTCCACCGCTACCAGGTGGTTGTTCCCGAGGTGTAGCTTGATCAACCTCTCTGCTGACCGGAAGATGCCGGCGCCCAGCTGAGTCAAGTTGTTATAGCTCAGATCCAAATATACCAGCTTGCTGGAGCTGCTGAATGTGCCATCTTCCAGAGTAGTAATGGAATTGTTCCTGAAGTCCAAGTAGACCAGGTCACTGTGGAAGACAAAGAAGTCTTCTGGAATTTTCTGGATGTTGTTGTTGGCGATCAGAAGTTTCCGTACGTCCAGGGGGAACGGGGTGGGGAGGTGAGGCAGGCCCT